TTTGTATTTTTTTTTTTTTTTAGTAGAGATGGGGTTTCACTGTGTTAGCCAGGATGGTCTCGATCTCCTGACCTTGTGATCCACCTGCCTCGGCCTCCCAAAGTGCTGGGATTACAGGCGTGAGCCATCGCGCCCGGCCAGCCTTTGATCATATTACATAACCTGTCTGTGTCTTCTTGACTCAGTTAAGATTCCCCTTCCCACTCAGGCCTGACAGGCCACTCTCTTCTTCCTATGCCTGCAGTATTTGTCATGTTGACATGTGCCTTTCGCTATGGCCGTGATGACTTGGAAGTGATTGGTCTGACATTCCGAAAAGATCTGTATGTGCAGACCCTGCAAGTGGTCCCAGCTGAATCCAGCAGCCCTAAGGGGCCCCTCACAGTTCTACAGGAGCGACTGCTGCACAAGCTAGGGGACAATGCCTACCCCTTTACCCTGCAGGTACTGACCCCAAGCCCTGGGCAGGCAAGGTCTCCAGGGAAGATTAAGAGAGGAAGCTCAAGAAGGACAAGGGAGAGGGTTCCCTATTTCTTTTGCATTTGTTTGTATTCTTTTCTTTTCTACTTCTTTTCTGATCTCCTTTTTGTCCCCTAGATGGTGACCAACCTGCCCTGTTCTGTGACACTGCAGCCAGGTCCTGAAGATTCAGGAAAGGTGAGGACTAGGTTCTAAGAAAGAAGGAGAGATGGTAGTGCCAGGGAAGAGGAACAGTGGGATAGTCAAGACTGGAGAAATGGACAGCTAAGGAAAGAGGTCAGGCATTTTCTTATAGGCCCATGAGAAAGGGAGGACAGCACTGGAAATTAGCTCTCTTTGCCCTTGTCCTTTTACAGCCCTGTGGGATTGACTTTGAAGTGAAGAGTTTCTGTGCTGAAAACCCAGAGGAGACAGTCTCCAAGAGGTATTCTTTGGTTGTCCCCAAAAATCCCTGCCTCCAGCCTCTGCCAGGAAACAGATCCTGCTCTCATGACAGAAATAGCCCCACTTCTAACCTCCACAGCATCGTCGCCACCAGTGATGCCCGGTTCTGAGCCCCCTCTGACTTATCTTCTTTGATCTAGGGCAGGGGTCAGCGAACTTTTCTGTAATGGGCCCAAAAAAACAGTATTTCTCTGTTGCATGTACTCAACTCTGCTGTTGTAGTGCAAACGCAGTCACAGATAGTATAGAAATGAATGAGTGTGGCTGTGTGTCCAATAGAACTTTACTTATGAACACTGAAATTTGAATTTCATGTAATGTCCACATGTCATAAAATAGCATTGTTCTTTGATTTGTTTCAACCATTTACAAATGTAATATAACCATTCTCAGCTTGTGGGCCATAGGCAAACAGGCATCAGGCCAGATTTGGCCAGTGGGCCACAGTTTACTAACCTTTGGTCTACATACTTGCATTAAGGGACTAGAAGAGTTCTCTGAGGGAGGCCTTCCTCTGCTCCCATTCTTAAGTAACGATTGGACTATGGGGGTGGCATGGGAGAGGTCTGTGGGTCTGAAAGGAGGACGCTCTGGCTAATCCCTTGGTCTCTGCTCAGAGACTATGTGCGGCTGGTTGTCCGGAAAGTACAATTTGCACCACCAGAGGCAGGCCCTGGCCCCTCAGCCCAGACCATCCGCCGCTTCCTTCTGTCAGCTCAGCCCCTACAACTCCAGGCCTGGATGGACAGTGAGGTTTGTGACCCCTACTTTTTGCCTTCCACCCCAGAACCCCTCTGATGCCCTTTCTTCACTGATTTCCTACTTGGGCAGGCAGAGATGGGAGCCAGGGTGACAACAGTGCTAAGGAAGCAGGGGTTCTGGGTCTCCATCTGCGCATTCTTCCTTCAGCCTTGACATGGGTCCCTCCTCCTGCTTTAGGTTCACTACCATGGAGAACCCATCTCTGTCAATGTTTCCATCAACAACTGCACCAACAAGGTCATCAAAAAAATCAAGATTTCAGGTGAGTTTCTTTTTCCATCCCTGTGCACCTGGTCCCAAAGCCACAGGTCTTTTTCCAAAATTCTGCCTCACTTACCTGTCTGCATTCATCTAGGCTTTCCCTCTAACATGGGCTTGTCAAAATGCATATCTTATTTTGTCAATGAGCATGTCTTACTGCATCATGTATAGTGTGCCTATGTATAAGGTCACAACTAAGGACACTGAGCTGGGGTCTCAAGGATGACTGACTGATATAATCATGTGCTTTTCCTGGCTTGTTCAGTTGACCAGACCACAGATGTTGTCCTGTATTCACTAGACAAGTACTCCAAGACTGTGTTCATTCAGGAATTCACGTGAGCTGGTGCTGGGGCTAGGGTCAGAGAGCCAAGGGGTGGGGTGGTGGAAAGAGGTCCAGGAAGCAGGTGAGGGGGTTGGGGGAAAAAGGGTGGTGGAAGATCTCAGGGAGGGATTCCCAGGAGAACTAGATGGAGGAGATGCAACTTACCCCCAGCAATCCCATCACGATGCTGAGCGAGGGCAGGGGCATAAGGATTTCCCACCAGAACTAATTCCCCCCAGTCTTCACAGTTAAACATGTCACCTCTCTTGGATACTCCAGTAGGTTCTTGTATAATCTTGTACAAGATACTCTTGGGAGTAAAAGTATGCTTAGTCAGCAAGCCCAGCCTAAATTCTTCTCTTGTTCTTCTTTTGAAGGGAGACTGTAGCTGCCAATTCCAGCTTCTCCCAGAGCTTTGCAGTAACCCCAATCCTGGCTGCCAGCTGCCAGAAACGGGGCCTGGCACTGGATGGCAAACTTAAGCATGAAGATACCAACCTGGCCTCTAGCACGATGTAAGCTCAAATGTAACTCTCAGCCTCCATTTCCCACCCCTCAACCATTCTACATGCTACATTTACAGCTCTGACGTTTCATCTTCAGTGAAGCCTATCTGTTTTTTAAAGTGTCTCTAGGGCAGTGTTCAGAGACTCCTCCAGGCCTAAGGGCCGGCAGTAAGCTCAATAATGCCTGTGGGACCAACGGCAGGCTTAGGTCATAGGCAGAAAAAAAGGAAAACATGGAGAGGAAAGCAATCCTTATGTTGTATACGATTTCACAGTTCACAAAGGTCCTACATATGTGCTATGTTATCTTTGTGAGAACCCCACTAAAGTAGCCTGGATAGGTGTTCTTATTTCCTTTTACACTTAAGGACCCTGAGGCTCAGAGAGAAGAAGGAATTCATTTAAGGTGGCATCGCTGTTAAGTGGTAGACGTAGACAGGATTATATCACATGTCATCCGGCTCTGAATACTGTGATCTCTACAGAAGCTACTCTCTAGAAAAGATAAAGATGGAGTAGAAGACTAGGAGATGAGAAATGGAGGAAAAGGAGGGCAAAAAAGGAAAATGATGCAACAGGAATGAATAGAATTCTAGGAAGTCATTCACTTGGTTCTGTGCCTTCGGAGGCCCTAGTGTTAGATGTGTCTCCCACCAAAAACCACCTGCCACCATCTGTCAAGTGTAATCCCTCCATCTCTCCCTACCCTTATCAATCAAGTAGCTATAGACTGTTATTGCTAGAAATACCATTAGAAATCATCCAAACTGCATTATTTTATATGTAAGAGATCAGCAGCCCAGAGCAATGAAGAGATTTTCTCAAGCTCATACAGCTTTCAGTGTCTTATTTTTCAATCAGTGGGTTTTTTACTGAACACCTATTACATGCTCATTCCTATGCTAAGCAATGTGGAGAATACAAAGAAGTTTAAGACAGCCTTCAGTCAATTTATGGCCTAGATGAGGAACAAAGAGAGATGCAAATACAACCCAACAGTTAAATGTTAGTGCACGTGGTTCAGAGTAAAAGTGCAACAAAGTTAAAAGAAGCCAGGAGAGCTGGTGAGGGCTTCCTGGAGGAGGTAGAATAAGCTAGATTTTGAAGAATGTGAAGGATCTGGATACCAACAGAGGAAAAAAGAGAGCATTCTAGACTAGGGACACAGCATGGGCCAAGGCTAGAAGGTGGGAATCCACATGGCATGTTCTGATCACGGAGAGAAGATGGGTCTGCTTAGGTTGTATCCCAGGAGTTAGGGCAGAAAAGGTTAGAGAGGCTAGATAGGGCAAGGTTGTTAGGGGTCTTGAAAGTCAGGCAGAGTAGTTGTTATATTCAAAATGTAGGCTCTTGAGCAGAGGGTGACATGGTAAAAGTGAATGTTAGGAAGAGAAATGTGGTCTCAATGGGTAGCAGAGGTTAGAGCCTGGGAGATATTCTACGATAAGACTAAACATAATAGGGTGTGGTGATGGGAATGCATGAGAAGAAACTGGGGACTGAATGAATTACTCCTCATGCTCCCAAACACCCCAAAACGAATACTACAACCTCCAGTATTAGACCTGGAATGGACAAAGAGCTGCTGGGGATCCTGGTGTCCTACAAAGTCAGAGTCAACCTGATGGTGTCCTGTGGTGGGTAAGTGAGGGTTCTGGGTCTGTCTGGGAAGGGGCTGAGGAGTCAAGGGTTTTTCGCTTCTGTTTTTCTCCCAGTTAGATTGACCCAATCAAACCATTCCCCACCCCTTCTCCCAGACCAGGTTCCCAAACCGGTGAGCTCAGTGAGCAGGTCACTTTCCCTTCCAGAAACCCATTCTGTGGCTGGCTCATTAGGTCTTATGATCCCTCATCCCCTAGTGAAACTAGGTTGCCCCTTCTGTATTTCCTGCTGCTAATTTTGGGTGTCATTCTACCCACAGCATCCTAGGAGACCTGACAGCCAGGTGAGAGACTGTGGGGTGGGGGGACTTGGGCAAGAAGAGGAGGACAAGGGGATAAGGAGAGCAAAATGATTGATTCGGGAGGGTCTGAGGGCATCCAAAGACTGGAAAACTAAGGGAGGGAGGTCCAGGGATTGGGCTTGTAGAGAGAGGAGATGTAACCCCACCTTGGGATCCTTGCAGCGATGTTGGTGTGGAGCTACCCTTGGTCCTGATCCATCCGAAGCCATCTCAAGGTGAGTGACCAGGTGGAACTCACAGGAACAGTTGTCCTGAGGACTGGGGTCCAAGCCATTCTGATCTCATGAATTGGAGACTAGCAGTTTGCCTGGGGATGGAATAGCAATAGGTAGGCTGGGTGTCTAGGTTTTCAGGGGAAGTGTGTGTGTCGTGTGTGCTGGAGACGAAGGATTGGGAAGGGGGAGGGGGAAGTAAAGATACTTCTTCAGGGAACCGAAGAGCCCCTAATCAGCTTCAGCTCCATTTTTTCCCTCTCTCTCCATGCTTGCTACAGAGGCTGCTAGGTAATGGAATACAAGACTGGGAAGCCCCATTCCCCTCTTCCCATTGCCACCCTCCATGTTATGATGATGGAAATGTGAAAATGCTTCCCTGGGGTGCTTTCAATACGTGTGCAGTGGAAACATATGGCTTAGCTTCGTGTCACAGTTCGGTGCTTTTCATATGCCCTCCTTTCCCTTTCTGCATCCCCCCCGCCCTCCACCTTCTGCTCTTGTTGGAATCATCCTTCCCCCTCATCCCCTTCCCATTTTTCTTTTTCCTTTTCCCCTACTCCCTCGCCCTTACTTCTTTCATCTTTCATTCTTTGATACCTTCCCTCCTTCCCACCCCTCATCCTTATTTCCCTTCCAGTGCTCCTGGGGGACTTTTGTGCTGGGAAATTTGGGCGGGAATGGAAGGAAACAAGCCAGAGTGACTGATGGAGGAGTGGGGGCACCAAGAGGGGGCCGAGGAGCCTAGCTGGGAAGCAGGGAGGGGATCACTTTTCTGGGATCAGGAAAAAAGAGTGGACACGGAGGACACCCAGAAAGGGGTTCCTAACCCTCCATTCTCTTCTGCTGCTTCTGCAAGCTCTGAGGACATAGTCATCGAGGAGTTTACGCGGAAAGGCGAGGAGGAGAACCAGAAGGCTGCGGAGGCCGAGGGAGATGAGGGGAGCTGAGCACCTCGCTCTGGTGCCCGTCTGTGTGGGAGCCCCCACTGTAACACTCTAATAAATCAGTGTGTTCAGATGTGCCTGGCGATCTCTTGCCTATTTCCTCTTCCTGGAGGATCATGGAACTGCTGAGAACAATCTTCCCCACCTCCACCCCTTCGCCGTGATTACACTACACTTAGCCCGTGCTTTTCCCTTACGCTGACCCCAACTTCCTGTGACACGGTCAGTGGCCATCCCTCTCTCCACCCCATGACCCCACTCGAGTGGCCATAGGATTGCGCTGAACACGAGGCACAGTGCAAGCTGTGAGGAGGGGGCCGAGGGGGCGTGGCCGTGCCCAGGCCTGGGTGTGAAGCCAATGGCCGTCAGCGGACGTCAGTAGAGTATGGCATGACGTCTGGCGGCGCAGGCTGAGCGTCGGAAACCATTTTGGCTGCCACCTACCTGAAGCGATGTCTGCCTTTGGTCACGACAAGGCCTGGATGGAGGCCGGAGGCTTTGGCCTGGAGGCTGCCGAAAGAACCGAATACCAGTCTCTGTGCTAATCTAAACTCTTACTCCTGGGAGAGCCGAGCGGTGCGGGTCTGGGTTGGGCTTTGGGGATAGGGAGGTGTAATTGGTATGAAATGGGGTGGGGCATTCTCTGGGGAACCGAGTTCCTCCTTGTTGGGAAAGGTTGGAGTGGCAAGAGGGAGGGCTCATAGAAACATTGAGGGGAGAAAGGGCACCGAGGGCAACGATTGGCCTGCTTAACTCCCTCACAGTAGGGAAGACATCCGTCATCACCCGCTTCATGTACAACAGCTTCGGCTGCGCCTGCCAGGTAAGCCCATCACCAAGTCATATGGTACATTTTTGCCGCTCTTCTTGGCGGACTCACCTGGAGATTCTCCTCCTCAAAGTTATGTATTATAAGCATTGGGAAGTGGAGCCAGGACAACTTCTTGAAGGGTCATTCTCCACTTTGGGTTCTAAGACTGCCTCATATTGGGAATAGAGGGAATGCTGGAGTGTCTCTTACTTTCTTTTGCAGGCAACTGTTGGAATTGACTTCTTGTCTAAGACCATGTACTTGGAGGACCAAATAGTGAGTGTTAACTCTCATACCACAAACCCTACACTTCAACCCCTTAGGCCTATTCATCACAGTTGGGTAGCACCATCAAAAAAACTGAAGCCTCTTCAAATTACCAAGCCCTATGATGTTTCTTGTTCTGTCTGCCTTCATCTAATCTCCAACTGTAACATAAACTCCAAGAGACCTTGAATCCTTAAATCTGCTGTGCTGTAGGGTCTTCCTGAATCAAAACAGTATATTGAAATTGGTTGGACCTGTCCTAGGACTATAGGCCACTTGGTTTGAGGCTATAGCAGCCACTTCTCAGGGATCCACTCTCCCCGACCTTTTGTATTCTGCCTTTATTAGGTCTGAGCTTTTTAAAAAGGCTAGTTTCTTTTCAACCTTTCCCCATCTTCTTCTTCTTTTGTTTTATGCAGGTTCAGCTGCAGCTATGGGACACAGCTGGCCAGGAGCACTTTCACAGCCTAATTCCTAGCTACATTCGTGATTCAACTATTGCAGTGGTTGTCTATGACATCACAAGTGGGTGTTATGCAATGTTTTATTTCAAAAGGGGATTATAAAGAGATTGATAGGGAGATTGATAAAATTAGCAGAGAGGAAGTGTTCTCTCCAAATCTCTCCTAAATGTTTCAACGCTCTGCAACATATTCTCTTGCAGACATCAGTTCTTTTAAGGAGACAGATAAGTGGGTAGAACATGTACGAGCAGAAAGAGGTGACGATGTTGTCATCATGTTGGTGGGTAACAAGATTGATTTGGATAACAAAAGGTAAAGTATAACTACAATTTCTTCTGGCATACCTAAAATTCAGTCTCTATGGGGAGGGTCAACTGTGTTCTATTTACTTGGGGAGGAGTTACCTTAGTCTCCTCTGTCCACTACCAGCACTGCAGGAGGGGAAGGACAGGGGGGCGTCCCATCAGGGCACAAGGATATGTGGGGGGTATAGGAGAGAGTCCCCACCCTGTAATCAGATGGGTCATAGGTTTAAGCCTTCTAGAGTTCCTGGCGCTAGGTAAGCATCATTACACCTCAGAAGAATCTATCCATATCCAATAACTCTGGCCCTTTTCATCATTTCTGATTCGTCCAGACAAGTCACTGCCGAAGAGGGTGAAGAAAAATCCAGAAACCTCAATGTGATGTTTATTGAGACCAGTGCCAAAACCGGTTACAACGTGAAAAAGGTAATACTTGTTTCTTTCTATAATACTTTAACTGCACTCTGTCTGTAGCTACCACCACTGTTTACTCTTTTGGATAACCTTGGCTTATCTTTTGTGGGGTGGGGGTCAAGATTCATCTCCCCATCATGTATCTCAAAGGCCCTGAATTATTCCAGCCTCTGAACCTGACCTTTTTTTTTCCTTTTTTTTTTGGTCACCATTCACACACACACAGCTGTTCCGGCATGTGGTTTCTGCCCTTCTTTCCACAAGGACTTTACCTCCACCGAAAGAGGGGAGTATCCTTTTTCCTAGCTTTGCTGGGGTAGGGAGTATACAAGTAGAGAAGGTAAGTTTCCTTTGCTGAGCTGATGCCTGAGTGGTACTTAAGGGGAAAACAGGACTAACTTTAGCCCAAAGTAGTTCGTTGGTTTGCCTTTAGGTGAGAGGGATTGTAAGATCAGAATTCCTCTTCTACATCTCCTAGAAGCTGACCCTGGGTGTTGAGATTTGACTCCAGTCACCTCACTGTATTAGCTTCCTTAACACACACTTCAGCAGTTGAAATTGAACTGGAATCCTTCGAGGAGTCAGGCAACAGAAGCTATTGTTCCCGTTGACAGCTTAGGCTTTCTCTGCCTCATTTGATGGATTTCTTACATTTGGGGTTGCCATGCCAGTTTTCCTCCCCACCTCGTTTTATGATACATGGCCACTTACTCTCTTCCAATTCCTAGGCTTGGGGTAAAAACAGAACCCCTGAAAGTGCTATCATTTTTTCCCGACTGCATCTCACAGCTACTGGGTGGAAGCTTCTTGCAGCACCTGGGAATTCTACCTCACCTTCTCTGATGGCTAAAAGACATCTGTAGAGAATACAGTTCTATAGCAGCTGACATACTTCAAAGGCCAACACAATTCATTCTCCACTGTTTGTTGTTGTTTACGTACACCCTCAATAAATGGTTCTTTAACCTAAGGCTGTTACTGCTTGTGCTTTCTCCACACTATACCTATATTTCCACAATGCAATTATCTCATGTTGGTGCCCTAACATAGAACCAATCCAAGTATCTCAAGTGAGAACCAATTTAGGGCAGGAGGGTTTTTGCCTCTTAGGCCCATGGCACCTGGCTGGGACTTTTTACCATGTTTTTCATACTTCTTAGATACATTTTTTAAGACCTGTTAACCACAGGGAGAGTCTTGGACCTCAACATTCAGCCAAGTCACCCAACATGCCTTTATGGAAGTAACCAAGCTACTATTTTCTTTCTTTCGTGGCCAATGCGGGGCAGGGGGTCAGCAAATAGGAGCATAGAACAGGATTTCCCAGGAAGCATAGAGACAGCTACATTAATTCTACCTCCAGCTCTGCTCTCAAGGGATATTGCCACCTAACAATAGCACTGAGACTCTAGAAGAGGTATGTCAGTAGAGCTAGGGTGGGATATATAGGAAGAACCAGACCTTCCCCATACAGTATAGTACTACCGTTTAGAACAATGTTTCCTACATTTGAAGACTTATTTACTTATTTCCTTTGCGTCTTTAAAAATCCAGATTTCCAGATTCCACCTCAGACTAACAGAATCATTGTCCAGTAGACGGGTCTATAAATATATATTTAAGTTCCCCAGGATTCTTTCAAGGCAAATTTTGGGACTTCATCATAGGGGTACATCACCCCACGCCACACTAGAAAACTTTTTTTTTTTTTCCTTTGAGACAGTCACTCTGTCAGCCAGGCTGGAGTGCAGTGGCACCATCTTGGCTCACTGCAACCTCCACCTCCAGGGTTCAAACAATCCTCCTGCCTCAGCCTCCCGAGTAGCTAGGATTACAGGCAGTGTGCTACCATGCCCATCTAATTTTTGTATTTTTAGTAGAGATGGGGTTGCACCTTGTTGGCCAGGCTGGTCTCGAACTCCTGGCCTCAAGCTATCCGCCCGCCTTGGCCTCCCAAAGTGGTGGGATTACAGGCATAAGCCACCGCACCCAGCCTCACACTAGAAAACTTTCAATTCCAAATCGGTATTTTGAACATGTCAGTGGCGATGGCATAGGCGTGACCAGGAATCCTGTAATGGTGGATTGGTAACTAAAGATCTAGGAACATGGCAGAATGTTATTTGGGGCTGGGGTGAAGAAAAGGGAGAAGTCAGCAGTTAGTACTACTCAACTTACAAGTTGGAAACTGTGAACCAATTTCTTACTGCTGCCTCAGAAAAGAAATGCATCTAAGCCCCTTCCTTAGTTTATGTTCCAGATCAAAGAATATGAGAAAGAAGAGAGAATTATATTAATACTGTCCCCTGCAGAGAAATGTTCAAAGCTCCTAGGGGAACAGGCAGTTTCTTTCAGTGCCCCTCACTCTATGCCATTCCTTAGTTATACTGTGGTTAAAGTTCCTCGGCCTCCCTAATGTTCTGGTCAGACACCATAGGTAGTTGCAAGGTAGGTATAGTGTTGCTCTGTTCCTTCCAGTGGCTCCTCTCTTTGGAAGAGCTTTTTCTTCCCTCAATAGCATTTTACATCCAATTGGTAACATTCAAAAGCCACACCAATATTTCTTCAGCATTGTGTTTTACTTTTTGGGGGAGAGGCTAGGAGGAGGAAGGGGTGAAAACAGGGTCTCTTTGGAGTCTCAAAAGTGTATGAATCCTCTGGTAGTACAAGGATGGGATAAGATGGTCAGGGAAGTCAGATGGAAAATCCCCAAGATTCTTTTTGCTACTGATTTCTGTAATTAAAATATGACATATGTAAGGGACTAGTACATGGTATTCAATAAATGTCAGCTGTCTTTCCTAACTAGGTTCCTCACAGGCTAGGTTATGCCTAGATATCATCCTCCTTTCAGGGAATGAAGCTCACCTAGAAAACTAGGGAACTAAAAGTGCAATACAGTTTGGGTAATTCAGTTGGTTAGCTGTCTCCCCATCCTCCCAACTCACTATTCCAGGGAGGGGCTGAAAATAGAAGTGGCTCTCCTGAAGTCTAGTTAGCATGTCATGGCAGAGTCCACATGAAGGGCTGTGGGCTGCAACTTTCTAGTGCACAGTCCTCTCTTTTTGGCGATGGTAATCTGAAGGAAAGAAGAAGAAAAGGAGGAACAGAGCAGGTTATCTTCACACTTGAGCTCCCGATTCCCTATCCCCAACTTGTAGGGCCTCTAGCTATCAGTATTTAAAGAGTTCTTACTTACGGCCCTGTCAGGAAAGTGAAAAAAGTGGCACTTACTATAGGGAAAGAAGCGGACACGCATGCTGATTTCACGAGCTGTCTTCAGGATCTCAACAGCCTGGAAGGAACACAGCAGCTTGTACAAATGAAGAGATATGACCCAAGACAGAATCATAACATGGGGAAAGGGATTTGCCACTCCAACCTCTGTATCACTAATAGCTGCTTCCCTCTGGTACTTTCCCCAGGAGAGGTGCTTACTTTCTCTATTTTTTTTTTTTTTTTTGAGACAGGGTCTTGCTGTGTTGCCTGGGCTGGTCTTAAATTCCTGGGCTCACGTGATCCTCCCGCCTCAGCCTCCTAAATAGCTGGGATTACAGGCATGTACCACAGTGCCCAGCAAAATGCTTTCTTATTAAGTTACAGATTAGGCTACTCCTGTCCAATATGTCCTATTTGAGATGGCTTCTTGCAGCACCACAGCCCAAGTACTGTGCTCACCTTGCTGTGCTCAATATCTTGGAAATCCACATCATTCACAGCTAGAACTTGATCCCCTTCCTGAAGTCCTGCTCTATGTGCATCAGAGTCAGGAATTACCTGTTGGTAAAGAGAGAATACATGTGATTGGGATGCGATAATTGCAGAAGACTGTCAGTGAAATTCGGTGCTATTCAAATGTAAGGTGCTATTGTTTTTCTGTGATAATCTAGGCAGACAGATGGCCTGCCAAATGAAAAGTTTAAAGTGGGAAAGGGGGTGTCTCCATTATACCCCTTCGATGAATCCACTGAGTCATCCTCTCAGCCTTTGGGACATTGGGGTTCTGCAATCTGTTAATTTAACAAAGGGAGGTAACTATCCATATTGCCTACTGGGCATAAATACCTTGGAGATGAAGATGCCTAGCTGGGAGGCCTTTCCTCCTCGGATGTTAAATCCCAACTATAAGACAAGAGCACAGAATGGGGGCTCAATAGAGACCACAAACACAAGAACAACCAGTAGCATCATCGTGCAATAGCTCAGCTTGTGTGTCCCTGAGAGGAAAGTCAGAAGTTGTAGAAGTGTTATCTCAGCTTTTCTGTCCACAAGAAGGAAAGTTTCCTCACATCTGCACCTGCTTTCCAATCCATCCCCCCAACACTGCCAACTTCTGGTATGGCTGAATCTAGCCTGGAATAAGGTTTCATAAGTTCACCTGAGCTCCAGGAGGCTTCTTCAGTGTGATGGTTCGGGGCAGAAACTGAGTCAACTCATTGTTGTAGTCTGGGTGGTGCACCCTCTGCAAGACACAGCAACCCCAGAAATTTTACCAGTCTTACTTCATACCTACCTTCATTTGGATCACTAATGAATCACCCTGAAGTCAGGAAAAGGAAAGGTCATAGACTTAATTTAAGTAGAACAGATAACACTGACTAAATGAGTAGATGGACGGCATTGGGACAGCCCAGTAGCTCCCCATTTCTTCACTTTTTTTTTTTTTTTTTTTTTTTGAGATGGAGTTTTGCTCTTGTTGCCCAGGCTGGAGTGCAATGGCTTGATCTCGGCTCACCGCAACCTCCGCCTCCCAGATTCAAGCGATTCTCCTGCCTCAGCCTCCCTAGTAGCTGGGATTACAAGCATGTGCCACCACGCCCGACTAATTTTGTATTTTTAGTAGAGACGGAGTTTCTCCATATTCGTCAGGCTGGTCTCGAACTCCCAACCTCATGTGATCTGCCTGCCTCGGCCTCCCAAAGTGCTGGGATTACAGACATGAGCTACCGCGCCTGGCCTTCGCCTCTTAACAGTATGGAAAGGAAGGTTCCAAATTTCCAGAATTAACTGGTGTGAATAGACCCCAGCAGGAGGCTTCCACAAAGAAGTTCCCAATGGGTCCTGCTGCTCAGAATCCAGCTTCTGGGTCTTCTGGCTACAAGTGCTAAGATGCACTCTCCATGTCGCCTTCTAACCCTGCCATCCTACCTTTCATGCATCATCTCATGCCCAGGGGGAAAAAAATCTCCTACTCAGGAATACAGATGGTTCCCACCTCATGAGGAGGAATCCATGCTGGAGGATTCTCATAGGCAGGCAAGAAAACCACCGGGTAGTCATCATAAGGAATCCGGCTGTCCATCTCGGGCAAGGCCCTGGAAGAGTGAATCAGAACAGACAAAAAGTGGTTCAAAAGGGAGAGCAGCCCAGCAAGTTTCAGAAAGCAACTCCAACCCATTCCAAGGCAGTCAGTCTATGGGCACAGCCCACATCTAGGTGTTAAGGTTGGAGGAGAGCAGGAAGGAAGAAGAAAACTCTTAACGTAGCTAAACATCTTCTGGATGCCAAGCAACCTGCCAGGTACTCTAGAAAGAGGACCTCATTTTTCACAACAATCCTGCAAAACAGATGTAACCGTCTTAAACCTGGAGAAGAGGAAATCAGGGTCGAGTCTAAAAAGATCTACTTTCGAAGCCCAAGCGAGTGTTAACTATCCGCAGGGACTTGGGGCAAGGCACCGCCCCACATTTCCTAGATGCGATTAGTAATGGTAGGGTCCCCAGATCGACCCTTCCTTCACCTGACCAGCCACCTCCCACGTCCCCACCCCACATTCTGCCTGAGTCCCGCGCTCTCGGCCGCATAAACGCCGCACCACCTCACCAGTGGGCAGTCCACAGCGACCTCAAACTCCGCTCACCGCCAATTCAGTCTGGGAACCGGAAGCGGATGCTCCGCAGGGTGGAAAAGAGGCCGGGCCAGGGTGCAACAAACTGACCCTCCCCTTCCCACCGCGCCGGCCTGCGCGCGCCGACGTGCGCGCTCCGCCCTCGGCAGTCCGCACTGCAATTGGTTGGCGTCTCCGGAACGGATTTGAAACTTGGCGGTTAAAGCTCCGTCTGGGACAGGGCGGCTGGAGACCCGTGGAGAACGGGGAAGGGACATTTAGTTTGGTGAGTTACGGGGGCACACCTTAGCTCAGAACCTGTTTCTTCCCGGTACCCTAGGGCTTTGGTTCTTTGTCGCTGTCCCCGTTGGAGTTTTTTCTTTGCCTTTCAGACGCGCGTGCACTCTCTTTAGAGTGCAGGGCTGACGGACGGTCCAGCCCTGGCCGAGTCCTGGAGAGTGAATCTCCCAAGGCAGTGTTCCCGCTGAGAAGGGTCGGAACCGAGGAGAACGCCCTCCCACCCCTGCTGACCTGCTAACATTCATCAGCGAGCCTTCTTTTTCCCCCTCGCAGAGACGGTGCTGAGATAGGATCATGAAGGAAGAGGTGAAGGGAATTCCTGTAAGAGTGGCGCTGCGTTGTCGCCCTCTGGTCCCCAAAGAGATTAGCGAAGGCTGCCAAATGTGCCTTTCCTTCGTGCCCGGGGAGCCTCAGGTGCGTAGCAGAGTCCAGAGCCTGTGTCTGAACAGCTGGGGCCAAATGGTAACGAGGGGTGTGGTCTTGCCTTTCATTTCTTCCCTTACGCCTTGTCCCTTGCCTTCTCTCTAGGTGGTGGTTGGTACAGATAAATCCTTCACCTACGATTTTGTGTTTGATCCCTCTACTGAACAGGAAGAAGTCTTCAATACAGCAGTGGCGCCACTCATAAAAGGTGTATTTAAAGGTGAGGCGATTTGATTCCTCGATCATAGCATATATATTCCTTGAGCATATACGATGTGCCAAGCACTGTGCTTGGGCGCTGCAAATACAGGAACGGATGAATCATGATACGTGCCTTCAAAAAGCCCTTAGTCTAATAACATTTGTGAAAGTCTCTCTACCCTTGAAGCTAGTTTTATTCTGTATTTGCTCTATGTGGTTCTGTTCATCTTTGACTTGTATATGTTTGTGTTTATCCTGAAACTTCATTAGATTATAAACTCTGTGGTGGTTGCTGAAGGTGATAAGCGTGCCAGCCTACTTGAGGCTCAGGCAGTGCAAAGCTTGTTGAGGGATTCAGGTGACAAACAATATAGCTTCGAGGCCCTGAGGGAGTTCAAAGTCCAGGGAATAGGAATGGAGGTAGATGATTACATAAATCATTTTGAATATATAAAAATTTTAAAATTTTTTGTACTTACCTTTTAGAAGAAAAATTTTTCAAGTTAAAAATATACAACAGAGTGAGTCCTATAGAAGTAGCTCTGCTCTCATACAAAGTGGTATGAAAAACAAAAGGATGACTAACTCTGCTTGGGGAATTTGGGGTGAATTTCACAGAGTGGGAAAACTTTGAGATAGGTCTTGAATAATGAGTATAATTCTTTTAGCTGGAAAAGGGGAGTTCCTAAAGCCTCTGAATACTATGACCAGTTAGTAATCTTTATTGTGGAAGCTAAGTCTTTAATGCTGTTGAAGACCATAGCAGGGTTCTAAAGAAGGGAGCAGTGCCTGAGAGATGTCTAATTATTATTCTAATACAGTGGTTATTCAAGATTCAAAACAGAGGTTCATATAAAAGAAGTAGAATCATGGCATGCTAGTGCCTTAAAGTTGAAAGAGACATTTGTATATCATCTAGTTTGTTTTTCATCCAAAGAAAAATGCATTCTAACAATATCTGTTAGATGAACTGCCAGTGTCTTAAAATTTTTTGACAGGGAACTCACTGACTCACAGATAGTCCAGTTGAGATTTGGGTTTTGGACTAGTCTAATTATGTTATAAAGATCTTTATATTGAGATGAAATTTGCTTCCTGATAAGTTCTACCCGGTGATGTTAGTTCATCCCTTTAGAAGCCTTCTTCCAGGCAACAGCTATTCACATATTTTTTCACGTTTTTTTGTTTAATGATTGGCTCAGGGAACATTGAAATTTTTGTTTCAAAATTTTAAGATATTAATGCAATAATTTCAAATGTATGGAATGTTGCAAGAACAGCATAAAAAACATTTTTTCCCTGAACCATTTGAGATGAGTTGTTGGCCTGATACCCCCCATACTTTAGTGTGTATTTCCTACAAAAAAAGGACTTTCTTCTAAGTTACCACAATACAGCCATCAAAACAATAAAATTTGCACTGCTACATTACTACCATCTATTCCTGAAACCCCATTGAAGTTTCACCAATTGTCCCAGTAAATATTTTATGGCAAAAAGATCTAGTTCAAAATCACATGTTTTATTTAGTTTTGCTGTCTGTTTAGTCTCCATTCTAAAACAGTTCTTTAGTCTTTTTTTTGACTTTTATGATTTTGACATTCTTTAGTCTTTTTTTGACTTTTATGATTTTGACACTTTGAAGATTACAGGCCAATTATTTTGTAAACCGTTTTTCAATATTGTTTTGTCTGATGTTTACTTATGATTAGATTCAAGTTGTGTATCTTTTAGCAGGAATATCACAGAAGTGGTGCTGTTTTCTTCTCACTGAAGCCTATTGGGCAGCACGTGATTTTGATTTATTCTATTACTACTGATGTTCATTTTGATCATTTGATTAAGGTGTTAATCTGCTGGGCTTCTCCGCTATAAAGTTAATCTTTTTCCTTTTTACATACAGTATTTGGAAGACCGTTAAATGTTTCTATCTAATTCTCTTCTCTTTAATTATCCCCGCCTTTCCTTTAGCCATTCCTGAAACAATATGGTTTTCAGACCCTTCACTGTCTGGTCAGATTCCTCAGGCTATCCCTCCACAGCTTAGTAAGAGCACCACAGTTCTACTTTTATATTCTTAACTTGGGAAACTGATAGAATTAAATTATGTTCTTTAAAGGCAACATAAAGTAGAAAGTGATTCCAATATACATGTGTTTGCTTAACATTGCCCTTGGTTGCAAAAACAAAGCCAATATTTTTTATAGTCAGCTCAACAGCACCCTCTTGTACTCTGAACTCCTGGTACCACAGAGCCCTGAATATTTTGTAAAAACTACTAAAACCTCGTTTCCCAAGTTATTGCTATCTACATATATCTGTGGTATTGCAGAAAATTATGAAATGTTATTCTCTTGCCCCATAGTCATGCCAGCTACTACCAGCGATCTATTACAGTGAAAATCTCAATTTAGCATCTTCTTATGATCTTTCATTTAGACCAACAAGTTCTTTCAAAACTTCAAAGTTTTCATTTAGATTAAAACATTGTTTCAACGTTTAAAGGGTTTTTTCCTTCAGACTGCAAAATTATCTTGGTAAATAGCAGATAACAGCTTTGACAAAAATATGATGATCATTTAACAGAGAAAGCTTGCTTTGTGTTCCTTGACAACATGTCTGCCACACTAATAAGCGACAGACTTTCCTAAGGTCATTATTTTTTTCACCTTGAAGTAAATTTGGATTTGTAGTTCCTTTTAGGTGCCATGCTTATAGTTTTAGAAGCTACTACCGTACAATTAAGTAGCAAGTTATAATCATGCATCAGTTAATGACAGGGATACCTTCTGAGAAGTGCATTATTAGGCGGTTTTGTCACTGTATGAACGTCGTAGAGTGCATGTATACAAACCTAGATAGTATAGCCTCCTATACACCTGAGCCTACTGCTCCTAGGCTACAAACCTGCAAAGCATGTTACTGTACTGAATACTGTAGGCACCTGTAACACCGTGGAAAATATTTGTGATCTAAACATAGAAAAGGTGAAGTAAAAATACAATATGAAAGGTAAAAGCTGGTACACCTGTATAGGACACTTACCGTGAATGGAGCTTGCAGGACTGGAAGTTGCTCTGAGTGTGTCAGTGATGAGTGGTGAGTGAATGTAAGGGCCTAAGACGTTATTGTATACTACTGTGGGCTTTATAAACACTGGATACTTAGGTTACACTAAATTTATTAAACATTTTTTCTCTCTTCAATAATAAATTAACCTTAGCTGTTTATAACTTTCTTACTTTATAAACTTTAATTTTTTTAATCTTTTTGACTTATTTGTAATAATGCTTAGCTTTAAACACGAATACATTGCACAGCTGAATAAACATTTTCACTCTTTACATCTTTATTCTGTATGCTTTTTTCTTTTTTTAAAAAAATATATTTTTTTACTTTTTAAACTTTTTGTTTAAGACCCAAACATGCACATTAGCCTAGGCCCACCCGGGGCCAGGATCTTCAATATCACTGTCTTCCACCTCCACATCTTGTCCTACTGGAAAGTCTTCAGGGACACTAACATCCATAGAGCTGTCATTTCCTATGACAACAATATCTTCTTCTGGAATACCTCCTGAAGGACCTGCCTGAGGCTGTTTTACAGTTAACTTTATTTATCATAAGTAGGAGTATACTCTTAAAATGATAAAAAGTATGGTATAGTATACTAAACACATAAACTAGTAACAATCATTTATTATTATAAAGCATTACATACTGTACATAGTTAGATGTGCTATACTTTTATATGACCTGCAGTGAAGTAGGTTTCTTTACCCCACCATCAACACAAACATGTAACATGTTGCACTGCAGTGTTATAATGGCTAAGTCAAGAAGCAACAGGAATTTTTCACCATCGTAAATACATTCCACATGATTGAAATGCTATTATATGGCACACGACTGTAACATTTGAAGTTAAAGTGAGAATAACCTATCTATTGTCTAATTGTTTCTTTATAAAATCTTGCTGCAGTTGTTTATCTTCCTCTAGCTTCAATCTAAACTTTGAATTTATGGGATAAAATGAAAATGCCCACCGGGCATGGTCGCTCAAACCTGTAATCTCAGTACTATGGGAGGCTGAGGTGGGCAGATCACTTGAGGTCAGGAGTTCGAGACCAGCCTGGCCAACATGGCGAACCTCGTCTCTACCAAAAAATACAAAAAAATTAGCTGGGCGTAGTGGCACGTGCCTGTAGTCCTAACTCTCCTGGAGGCTCAGGTGG